GAAATTGGTCGCGCATAGCGTCGAGTGCGGAAGAGCGAATGATTGCGCCGTTATTCTTCCGAGCGAAGACGACAAGTGGCTCTCCTTCCGCAATCACGACAGAAAGGAGAGACTACGATTCATTTACGCCGATTTGGAGTGCGTTTTAGAAAAGGGAGATCGATGGTTTGCGGGGAATCTCGACAATAGATTCGCCTATCAACATCATAAGGCATTCAGCGTGAGATATTATTTGCGTAGCACGTATAACGGAATCGTATCCGCGTATAGATCTCGTCGAGGCGACGACTACGTCTCGTGGTTCGTCGAAGAGCTGCGTGCTCTCGCGTGTCGCGTGAGGAGGGTTCTCTGTGCGAGCATACCGATGTCGAAACTTACGCCGGACAAGCGGAGCGCTTTTCAAAGGGCGACAAATTGTCACGTGTGTGAAGGATCTTTGGGCCGTACGACGTTCGCGTGCGCGATCACTGTCATCTTACCGGACGGTACAGAGGATCCACGCATGCGAGCTGCAATTTGAACTATCAGAACGCGTTTGTTATTCCCGTTTTCTTTCATAATCTATCTGATTACGACGCGCATTTTATTATCAAGAATGTAGCGAACGCTTTCGAGGATAGAGTCGACCTGTTACCGCTGACTAAGGAGAATTATATCGCGTTTTTGAAAACCGTCAACAATTCGGCATATGGAAAATGGAAAAATTGCGTTAAGCTAAGTTTTGTAGATTTGTTTAAATTTCTCAATAAATTTAAATTTCTCAGTTTAGAAAAAGCTTCGTAGATCGGGACAAATTGAGAATCGCGCGATTCGAATTCTCCGGTCTCGCGGAGGATTTCGAATTGTTCACGCGCAAGGATGTATTTCCGTACAAGTACGTCGACAGCGTTGATAAACTATTAGAAACCGAGTTACCGCCAATCGAAGCCTTTCACAACTGGCGAAACTGTGAGCGCTAGCGATTACGAGCACGCGCGAATGGTATGGGAGCGTTTTCGCGTGAGAACTCTCGGCGAGTACAGAGATCTATACTTGAAAACGGATATGCTTCTCTTGGCGGATGTTTTTGAAAATTTTCGGGATACCTATATGGAGAGTTACGATTTGGATCCAGCGCAGTATTTCACGTTACCGGGATATACGTGGGACGCTATATTGAAATATACGAACGTTCAATTCGATCTGCTTACCGATATCGATATAGTGATGTTCGTAGAGCGCGGTATACGCGGCGGTCTGAGTCAATGCTCGAACAGGTATGCGCGAGCTAACAATCAATACGAATCGTCGTACAACTCGTCTCGACCATCATCATACCTCATGTACTACGACGTGAACAATCTCTACGGTTGAGCCATGCGAACCCTTATCGTACGCGAAATTTGATGGGTCGAGAGTCTCGAGGTTATGTCCGTGCCACCTGACTCCGATATCGGTTATATTCTAAAGATCGATCTCGTGTCTCCGCGATATCTTCACGACGGCCATTTCCCGGACCTTTCGTTTTGTCCGACGCGCGAAAAATTGCCGGAAAAGCGAAACGAAAAGCTACTCGCCACGCTTTACGACAAATCGCGTTACGTGACGCACTATAGCAATCTTCAGCAGTGCGTGCGATACGGTTTATGCGTGACGAAAGTCTATCGCGCGTTGCAGTTCGCGCAGTCTCCTTGGCGGCGCGCGTATATCGAGTTCAACATGGAACGGAGAACTCGCACGAGCAACGAATTTGAGGAGAATCTATATAAGCCGATGAACAACGCGGTTTTCCGCAAAACAATGGAGAACGTGCGCGATCACGTAGACATGAAGCTCGTGATGCGTTGGGACGGAAGATACGGCGCGGAGGCGCTGATCGTGAAACCAAACTTCCACAGCAGGAGCGTCTTCGATGAGACTCTCATGGCCGTCGAGTTGCGCAAACTCGAAGTTTAACAAACCGATCTACGTCGGTATGTGCATTCTAGAGATATCCAAGACGCGTTTGTACAACTTTCATTACGATTATATGATGCCGCTTTATCGCTCTAAATGCAAAATCATGTACATGGATAGTTTGATATATTTTCTGGAATGCCGAAACGTTTATGAGAATATGAAGCGGGATATCGCGAGATTCGACATCAGCGATTACCCCGACGACAACGCGTACGATATATCGCGCGCGAACAAGAAGATTTTCGGTTTCTCTTTGATGAAAGACGAGAACAAGGAGCAATCATGACGGAGTTCATAGGGCTCAGGGCGAAGATATACGCTCTGAGAGTTCTGGGAAAGAGCGATACGAACAGAATAAAGGGCGTCAAGAGGAGTATCGTGAAAACAATAACGTTCGAGGATTTCGCGTGTGATTTGCTTGATTTGCTTGAACGAATCGTCGCAGCAATCGAGACATCAGAAGTACATACGCTCGATGCTACATGAGGTTTACACCGTGTCTGAACTAAAGCTAGCCTTGAATCTTTACGACGACAAGCGATACGTAATATCAGACTCCACCGATACATTACCGTGAGATCATTATAAGATACCGTTATCAGATACCAATGTAGTATAAATATTTTTACCAATGTAGAATAAGTAATCGTTTCACTTTGTACTCTTTATTCATTACAATACAGCCATTTTATGTCAGCCAAGAATTGTGTGTATTGTCCATTGCTAACCATTTGACGAAAACCCTATCGTCTCTATCCTTTCTACTACCTTCTTTACGAAATAGATATCGAGATTGGAAACTCGCAGTAACTCGTGTTCGTAGTCCGGTCACTGGCTCTCCGCGATAGTCTTTCAGCAGACACGTCACGGGATTCGTGCGTTGCATCTTGGCGATTCGAAAAATCTCGGTCGTCCAGTTAGGCGTATATCCCTTCTCGAAAATCGTTTTGAACTTGCTGACACGTACCGGATCGTTCACCTTGAACCTCGCGGGGGGTGATCTTCAAGTGACTGTATACCGTGGAGAGGAGTCTCTTGGCAACGGCGGGAGTTACGTCCGCCGGTCGCATTCCGATCGTTCGATGCACGCGGTTGTTATACTCCGAGATTAAACGCGGTAGAGCGTCAAGCCATCTGTACGATCCATTGAGCGTGAAAAGCCTTCACATGTCATTCTTGAATATGCGATTAAATCGCTCTATCACCGCCGCCTTCATCACCTAGTATATCGAGTAGTGACGTATATCGTATCTATCCGTAACCGCTTTTACGGAGGCGTTGTAGAACTCCTTGCCCTTGTTCATTTGTAGATTTCGCGGATGTCGAGCGTCGTCGCGAAATATCTTGGACAACGCCGCGGCTACCTCGCTTCCGCTCTTGCTCTTCAGCGGCACGCCCACGCGTACTTGCTCAACACGTCGATAACCATCATCACATAGTTGTAACCTTTGTTTCGTCGCGCGTACGGACGCATCTCGACGACATCAGTCTGCCACAGATCGTCGTAACTGCGCACCACGACGCGACGACACGGAATGTTTCTTCGCACGTGAAGTCAACGAGTCTCCTCTTCTCGACGCTCATCGCTGATTTACGAGGAAGCGCGATTCGCGCTTTTATTCGTATTCGTCGCTTCGCACGTTCGCTCTTGTTCCTCGTTCCAAACGTTAAGCGCGTGTTTCGTAGTATTCGGGATATCCGTTTTTAGCGCGACTAGTAATTCGTCTATCATTTCCTTAGTCACTATTTTATCCACGTTCAACGAGGCCAACGTCGCGTCCAGCGTCTCTCTCGTTACCGCTTTGTCCGTCAGTTCTCTTACGATTCTCGTCAGATCTATCATGCTACGCGTGAGATTCTCCATGTCGAGATTCTCTCGCGGCTCGTCGATGACGCGTCAAGCTCATTTCGCAGGGATTCCTTTAGATTTCGCAGTGATTCCTCTAGATTCCACGTTTGTTTCTCCTGAGCGTCGCCGAGCATCTCGACGACTCTTCGGATCTCGTTTCGAGTCTTTAGCTCGCAGTTCGTCCCGTTTCTCGAGCGCTCGTTCTATCGCACTTTGGATTATAGTCAGGTCTCCACCTCGTTGTTCGTCCCGTTTCTCGAGCGCTCGTTCTATTGCGTTTCTGATCTCCCCTATTCGTTTGTCGTGATCGACGGTCTTCCTCTTCTTTTCGAAGTGTCGCAGAACGCTCACTTCGGTTACGTCGTAATACTGTAGGAAAATATTCCGAATCCTTGTTCATCTTCCAGCTGTTTTCGTAGCTCGTTCGTTAGAACTTTCAACTCCTCGCTCCTTACGCGAAGCGCGTTGTCGACGTAACCCTTGGTCGTCGGATATCAGTTAGAATTTAGTTAAGCAGATAAACGGATGACACATGTTCTGTTACGATCGCGACGGTTACGCAACTGATCTCTTCCGGGAGTCGTTACTAAGAATTTGGCTAAGCGCATAATCCCTATTATCCTAATCGCGAAAAAACAACACGTGTACAGATGTTTTTCTCAAAATCATATATATAGTGCCCTTAAAGGCACGGAGCGTACACTGCTACTTCCTTTTTTCACGCGGTCAGAACATTTTCAGTCCATCAGTTGTCAATAATTAAATCAGTCGGTGTCAATCGAAATAAATCAACAATTTCACCAAGTACAAGTACAAGTGACCAAGTTTCCTGGCGACACCGTTTCCGCCTTCATCATCTCGCGGTCCCAAGTCTCCGGCATTCCAGAGTAACAGAAAGTTCAATTACACATAGAAAAATTCCCTAATAATAGTTTTCGGGTCTCTTCTCCTTATATTTTCTCATTTCTCCCTTACATCCTTTCTATCCTCTGCCGTTCTCCTTACACTTCTACTCCCTTTTTCTTTTTTCTTTTCTCTTTCTTTCTTTGCTTCAGCCGTCGAACCTCTCGGGCTCCCTATGCGTTGCGGAGCACTCAGCAGGTTCATGGTTGCCGAGTAACTCGGCAAAATCTGCTTCTTCTTTGTTTGCTTCGGCCGTCGAACCTCACTGACTTCCTATGCATTGTGGAACACTCAGCAGGTTCATGGCCACCGAATAATTCGGGAAATCTATTCTTTTCTTCTTTCTCTCCTCTCTTACAATTTTCTCTTTCCCTTCTTAATTTCTCTCCTCTGTCGGATCTCTCGGTTTCCTGAAATATTTCAGAGATAGCCTTAAGGTTTACGACCAATGACATTTCCTTCATATACCAAATCCATTTCTTCTAGTGAAATCTGCATCATCCTTTCTTTCCGACGCTCAGAGACGGAGGCGAATCCTGAAGAGGCTTCGTTATCGTCGCAACAAGCGAGCTCGTCAATCAGGGAACTATCCCTCGCTTAGGACATCCGAGGTTTTGACACATGAAGAAACCACGAGTTTTTCCAGCAGGAGACTCCATTATTTATACATATCTCCTCCGTCCTATTCCTCGATCAAACCTAGATCACCCCCAGATTTCAGCATACTCTTCCCAGAGCTCCATGACCTCCAGATATATCCAGATTTCCGCACCCAGAAATCCTTGGACGAGTTTTGCGAACTCCGGACTCCTTCCCCTCCTCCCCTAGACCTCACCATCGGAAATCCGACCTCCTCTCCGAAACAACCACACACAGATAACAAATATAAATTTAAATAGATTAACAACGTAAGATAAAATTATCAAATACAGATTAAAAATACTAGATTATGTAAGATAAGAATAATTAGAATATAGATAAACATACAAATATAATAGAATTCGTACACAGAAATTAAATACATCCGTCAATTTTTAGAACATTTATATTATATGAATTTCCATACGTAACACCTTTTTTATTATTTTATCAAATGTAAATATACCTTCAGTAAATGTATTTCAACGCAAGAAATAATGACACGGATCTTGTAGTTAACTAAACTTGTAATCGTTTTAAAATTATTAATTACATGTAAAATTTAAATTATTTATCGTTTTAGTTATTTCCTCCCTCTTTCATTCCTCGTTATCCCAAGATTCGCGCATGATCCTGTCCCTGGCAAGAGATTAAATTCTCTTGCCTAAATTACGGACCGACGGACGCACGTCACGCAGTCGGAGTCATAGCGTCTTTTTTAAGACATTGATTCGCACTCGTGGCTCTGCACAGTGTGTCCGACTCGTAGGAATGCCTCAGCGCGCCCACCTGCGAGAAGGTATTTGGAGCGTTCTTCCAAGTCCCATCCATTTTCAAAAAAATATTTACCTCGGGCTGGACGTAACAGTATACTCTTATACGTTTGCTTCTCCGTGTACACGACGTCGTCGGGGAGTCTCTTGAAGATCAACTCGTATAAGCCCAGAGTATCCGGATATCGCGCGTGGTCCACGATCACATTGTCGTCAGCGGCCACGTCGAATCGCTTGTCGCCGAACATCGAGCCGCCCACGTCGAAGTACTCCGTAAACGTGGTCGATCTCGCTCTGTCTGTTCCCGCTAAAAGCGCGTCCATATATTTGCGCCCTAACGGTCCCCATTGCGCGTTCGAGATCGATTTCTCCAATTCGCTTCTAGTCGCGAAACTAGCTGTCACGATCGAGAGCGATCTCGTCAGGAGGCGTCTCTTCATTCCCTCGTCGGTCTCGCGTTTCCTCTTAGCACCGACGAATGCGATCGGATCGAGTCCTTCGGACGATTCGCCTCGCGCGGTGTTCTTAGCGATTCGTTTCAACGGCTGAACGATCGATTTGAGTCGTCTCTCCAGCGCGATCTCCTCCTCTATCTCACCGGTCTTTAACGTTCTGTGCTTTTTACGTATAGAATCCTGAATCTTCGTGATCTCTCGCGCTGTTTTTTCCCGTCGAGCGACGTCCATACTCGCCGCAGCGTGAACATTCATCCTCGTAGCACAACTGATCGCTCTACATCACGGCGAAATCGTTAAATCATCGTCTGTATCTATCATTCCTTAACGCACTGTCCTTATCGATGACTATGAAACCGTACTTGCGTTTCCAACACGCGCGACACAAGGCGCAAAAATCATCGTACGACATATCCGTGTTCACGTGCTCATTATAAACGTGCTTTAGGTTAATTCCATCCTGCTTAAACAGAATCAAGAGATTCGCGTTGTCGCGTATCAAGTGTTTCGGAATTTTAGCGTATATCTGACAGAGATAGAAACAATCGATGTTCGAGTGTCGACCCATAGCGAAATATTCCCTGATCGTGTTCTGCTTGTCACAGGCCACGTCGTCGAACACGAATATCGAATCGGGAAGCGCCTCGCTTGGTGGTACGATCGCTATTGTTCGAGAACGCGCGATAGCCGATCTCATCCATCGACTCGAGCAACTCCGCCAGGTATCGATATTTTGGTTGTTACAGGGATTTTGAGTAGATGTATATGTTCTCGAAGCGTGCGAACTTCCGAGCATGCTTATCAACACGTTCGTTTTATCGCAGTTGGAAGAGCCGCAAATGATGCAACATATTGTGTTCGATAATAGAGGGCCGTGTCTGCGCGCCCTCTCGATCGCGTCGCCCGAGATTCGTCGAGTCTTACGGTCAAGATTGGACACTCCTATAGCCGGCGACCGTCGAACGAATCGCATTTACGCGCGTGCGCTTGCTCCGAGGAGATGCGACCGATAATCGCTCTACTTATATTCGATAGCGATACAATGATCGATATGTTTCCCCTATTGACGGACAAACGCGATATTCTCAATCTATCCGCCGAACAGTTGCGACTTATCTGAAGATCGTTCTCGTGCGCGATTTCTACAGATACGTGGAGGGACTATTGTGGAACAGACTACCCGATCATCTGAAAGCGGACCCCGAGGTGCAACGTTGTCGTGTGTGTCTGGAGCATTACAATCGTGGCAACGATCGCACATAGACGGTCCTGCGCCTCTCATCAAGAACTGTAGCGAATGCTCAGGCGCGGGATTACGGAGATAAATGCGCTTCCCTTCGAACTACATATTCTCAGGTATCAATTTTGCGGACCTGGCACCCGTCTCGTGAAGCGATTGGCGGCGATTGAAGCGTCAACCCGTTGGACGCGGCGTGCCGCGAGAATGACATCGCCTACTCACGAAACAAGGAACTCGCCGATCGTCGTTGCTCTCGCCGAGAAGGCGTACGAACGTATAATGGTCGGAGATTCCACCTTCGGCGAGAGGGTCGCCGTATAGGCGGCTATGAAAGCAAAAACAAAGCTGGGCATGGGTTTGAGGAAGAAGAAGAGGAAGACGACAAGGAGGATATTTCCGACGGCGAAACGCGGAGGCTTGTTGCCCATTTTTCCGACACTAGGCGCGCTCGGTTCTTTGATCGATGGCGCGGCGGGCATCGCGAAGGTGGTTAATGCCGGTAAGGCCGCTCGGTGTCAACTAGAGGAGTTGCAATGTCACAATCGGACGATGAAGGATCACGGATTGCACATAGCGTTTTATAAACGTGGCAGCGGTGTGACCAGAAGAACGAAAAAAAAATCGTGGAAGGAAACATTAAGATCGCTCGAGCTGCCGCTCTTCGGCATCACAACGAACGAGCAGTTGAGCCGCTCTGCGCGTCGTCTGCGAATACCCTTCTTCAGAGGAATGTTTATGCGTAACGCGTTATCGTCGAAGGCGCGACGCAATGAGAGCGGCATCGTGAATCTCTATAAGTTCGCTCACTGGGTCACCTACGCGAAGAGGGACAATGACGCGGTTTACTTCGACGGTTTCGACCGCCGAGAGAATTCGAGAGATATCTCGGCGGCGACGTAAATATAACGTACAATTGTATCAGATGTACGATCAGATCATCTGAGGTCAGTTGTGCTTGCGATTTCTCTCGAGGATCGGTCATGATGTCGCTGAGCCTTTCGTTCACCAGTAAGAGTAGCATCCTCACGACGTGCTATTTTCCCGCCTTACATCTGAGCGACGACGATTACGAATTAGATCTCATGAATTTCGAGACGTACAACACTATACCGAACGTCGATTGCACGAATAATAAGTTCTACTACGATGACGACGACAAAATGATCGTGATTTCCGAGGCTTCGTACGAGTTGAGTGCGATAGACAGATATCTGAATGCCGCTCTAAGAGACGAAGGATCGAGAGCAAGAGGACGAGCGACGATGACGAGAGCGACGATGTCGTCTACGATGAGAGCGACGAAGGCGAGAGAGACACGCAACCTTTGATCATTCGCACCAATGAGAACACCATGAGAAGCGAGATCAGGTGCGAGTGTAAGCTCAGCGTCCTTTTTCTTTTAGCGATTCCTCCCTATATAAATTGTGTACGTTATGGCGTAGAGAGAGAGCGAATTTACGAACGCTTTGGCGCGATTTCGTCCCTTTTTGGTTTTGAAGATAGAGAGTCTTGGACAGCTCTCAGGCAAGACATCTCAAACCTGCTTTTACATATATTGTAATATCCGCACGACACCTCAAGACAATAAAGTGCTATTCAGTTTTCTTAACGCCAGTGAGTTGAGTAATTACCCTCTCCTCCTATTGGCCTGGTGACTATACGCACACAGGAGGCACGAACGACGACACTGTTCACGCCGGCTATATTAAGATATCTTCTACCTACACGAGCATCGAGTCAACTTCGCGAAATTGAACAACATCGGTTCGCTCTTGGGATTCTGATCGCGCGTGTACGACCGAACAAATGGTACACGTCCGACCCATGAATATCATGAACGTGAATATCATTCGGGTGGAGTGCAATATCACCGCGGGTGCGTACAACGACGAAGCGATTTACACGATACACAAGTTTTCCACGAACGTTCCTCCGAGATATAAACTGTTGAACGCTCCGACGTCGATCATTTACTTCCCGATCATCGCACGAAACGTCATCGATATCACGCTTCGAGTCGTGGATCAGGATAGGCGACCGATCGATTTTCGCGGAGAAGAGATAACGGCGCGGCTTCACATGCGATGACGAAGGCAGTACAGAGAGATGCGCGAGAGCGATAGATGCTCGTTCTGAACGAGTGGTGAGAGGAGATGCAAACGCTACATCCGCAATCCTACCGCGAAACGACGCCACGAGGAAGGTGCGCGAAGGAAGGGCGAATGAG